GAAAAACATTTGACTAGAAGGGCTAGAAATAAGAAGTAGAACTGCAAGGTAATCCGTTTAACAAACATAAACGGAATTTTTGTTTATTTATTTTGACAAGACGCAATGACGTCTTATTTTTACATTGTTTTGTTGCGATACTAATAATGCTTCCTGTCCAACGAACTATTGTTAATGAAATGATACACACCATTTAGCACAAAAGTGTTTGATAAAATAACGTAATGTTTAAATTGATAGAGCAAAGCTTAGTTAATAAAATTTAGGTTTTTTTAGAAGATATCTAACTTTAGGCTTTTCAATCGTTATCACCAAACGGTACACTTCAACGCATCAAATATTCAAATCGTATTTAAGGTAGGTTGATATTTGAACATTCTTTTCACTTAAAAATAACTACCCTCACACAATCTAAAGGTTGATAAGCCATAAAGCGCATATGTAAGCGTTGCTATTATTTGAGAATGAATATCCATTTTTTTTTGATAGATAATAATTTTCTTCATCGATCTCGCATTTATTTCGGCTGTATTTGAGTAATTTTTCTTTACTTTCTTTAAATTTCATTTAATAAAGCATAAAAGGATAATACCCTTTTCGTTTTGATATATAAATGATTTCGCAACTCGATATTTTTTCCTTGGTAATACGTGCGAAATTGTTCGAAATTGAATATTAGTTACTAGTAATTTCTGTCAAGTTTATGCGAATGCAATGTTAAACTGAGCAAACCATTATAAAGATTTTGTAATTTCTTTAAAAATTTTATCATACAAAAACTCTGTTCGATATATATTATATATATATATATATATATATATAGGGTTTACGTTTTGTTGAATATCTGGTACCGATATACAAATTAAAGAATTAAACAATTGCTCTTGTTTTTAAAAAATGAGTTCACAACATTTTATTCCTCCATTGGTAAAGTTTTTGGAATCAAACGTATTGTGCAAAAAAAGACAAGTTGTTAAATAAATAAATAAATAAATAATTCTTTGTACCTTCACTTTGTTGAATTCACAGAATTATGGCATGATAGAAGAAGACTTGTATAGATCAGGTCAACCGAACGAATTAAATTTTCCATTTTTAGAGAAACTTGGACTAAAGACAGTGGTATGGCTTGCTTCTGAAGAACCAAATCAAAGATTGTAAGCGTTTCTAACTTTAGAATTATAAACTTTTATCGTTTTTAGCGATGAGTAATAAAGTTGATAAAATTTATAAAGTTTAGATTTCATCGATGATCAAGAAATTAAATTTCACAATCTTGGCATTGTTGGCGTAATGTCTTCAGTAAGCGCTTGGGATCCTATTACTGAAGAGGTTGTCGTGGAAGCATTAGGACATATTCTAAATCCACATAATTATCCAATGATCGTTATGTGTAATTTAGGAAGGCATAGGACAGGTACTTTATATTGTTATCACATTATACCAACACGCATTTTTTTTATTTTGATTAATAAAATAATTTCATGAAAAAAAAAGGTACAATTGTAGGATGTTTGCGTAAACTTCAAAAGTGGAATTTAACATCAATATTTGAAGAATATCGACGATATGCGGGACCAAAAGTTAGAGTTTTAAATGAACAATTTATTGAGTTATTTGACACTGATTTAGTCAGAGTTCCTGTGAACAGGCCTAAATGGTTGTGAGAAAAGACACTAGATTTTTTTTTTTTTTTAATGATCGTATTATATAGCATGATTATTTAATAGAATTAAGTTATAGGATAATAAGAAACTTTTTTTTTTTTTTTTTTTTTTGATAATTTCTAATTTTTATTTTTTCATTAACGTTTAATCAAAATTGGCATCAATTTATTAATGAAAATAAAAAAGTACCAATGATACAAACGAAACATTTGTTCTTCCAATGCTTTTAAGTCAGAACCAGAAGAATAACGTCAATATATCAAAGGGTTAGAAAAAAAAGATTTACTGCTCCTGTCGCCCAGAAAACGAACATGAGTGATGATAATATATAATAAGGGGAAGGGGTTTTTAAACTAATGACAAGAATTGAAATATAGGAAGGTCGAAGAGAAGAAAAAGGGAATAAAATAATAGATTTAGTATAAAAAAAAAAACAAAGGGCATGGGACATGGAAGCATATAATATTAATGATAAGAACATGTCAGAAATAAAAAATGATATTCGTAAAACATACCATATATAAATGTTGCATACAAGAAACTAAAGTACTACTACTACAAAGAAATATTTAATTACACAGAAACTATTTTAGATGCCTCCTGTGATGTCAAATAATTAACACTTTTTTTTTTTTTCTTTTGTTTTTGTTAATAGATATAATTAAGCGGCAGTTTCTTTCTTCTCATCAGAGGAAGCAGCAGGCGCTTCCGTCTTTTCAACATCATCACCAGGTTGAATATGTTGGTCACTTAACGCAACTTTAATAACCAACTCTCTACCTTCAGACGTGGCGGTTTTTAACCCTTCTAAGGCTTTCTTTTGTTCTTCTTCGTCAACAAAAGTGACGAAACCAAACCCCTTTGAACGCCCACCACGACGACGAACAACGTGTGCACTAGCAACGTTATAATCTTTAAAAATTTCTTTCAGGCCATCATCATTAATGGAGAATGGTAGATTGGCAACGAATACAATCGTTTTAGATGGTTCACCAGTTTTAGCAGCGCCAGCTGTATGATTTGAATTAATATTAGCAGAACGACGACGTGGCATACGACCACCACGACCACGTCCGCGACCACGACCACGACGATAGAATCTACCACGACCTTTATGTTGATCAGTACCATTTGCAGTTGGGGCATCAGAGGGGACAACGGCAGTAGAATCATTGTCCATATTGCCGTCATCACCACTACGGTTGAATCGACGACGACCTTGCTAGTATAATAGATTATATTTATATTAATAATAAATAATTGAATTAAAAATAACAAATTAATAAATATATTTACCCAGCTACCGCGACCTCTGCCCCGTCCACGACCCCTACCACGTCCTCTACCCCTACCACGAAATCTTCCACGTCCACGACGCGAACCAGGACCATGGTAGGAATGACCAGGATTAGAAGTAGGAGCAGTGGTATTTTCCTTAGGTTTGGCAACTTCTACATTGATTTGACGGCCATCCAATTCTTTTTTATTAAGTTCTTCAACGACTTTATTCGCGTCCTCCTCAGTTTCAAGAGCAACGAAACCATAACCAAGGGAACGCGTTCCGCGAGTAATAATATTAGCCTTAATACTAAATAAATTAATTTAATAGATAAGTAATTAAGAATTAAAATAAATATATAAAAAAAAAATAAAAAAAAATTTTTTAAACGACAGATATCAATTAGAAACTCAGATAATAAAACATAATATATGCTATAAGAATTTCAACTTACACTTTACCGGTCTTATTAAAAAAGTCGGCTAACTGTTGTTCACTGGTTTGGAAAGCCAAATTTCCAACAAAAACTTTAAAACCAGGCTCTTCTTGAGGTTTTTCCTCTTTAGTAGTGATAGCCTCTTCCGAGTTATCTTCAACAGTTTCAGAGGCAGTCACAGCCACAGAGTCATCGCGGGTGACAGATTCGTCGGCCATTATTTAATAAATGATATATATATATATAATAAAAATTTATAACAAGTACGTATAGATAAAATTCTTTTAGCACGACCGTAATAGTTTTGGAGGACTTTAAAAAAAAATAAAACTATTTATGATAATGTTGGGGGTCAGATGTGATTGATGTAAAGTTCGTTTAGGTCGTTAAAGAAAAATGGTCACTTCACACCTCCAACAAGCTGGACACTGGTGAAGGAGAAACTCTAAAATCTAATATAGATGCCTGTTAGGACTAGACGGACTGTAGGCAATAGGTCCACTAAAGGGCTAGGACGGAAGGCAGGTTTAAGAACTTCGACGGATAGAACAGATGCTTCGCTTTGCTTTCAAGTATGGCTTGAAAAGACTAGGTAGTGAAACAAAGAACGGAACCATCACCAAGATATACCATATGCCAATACTTGTGAAACAATTGTGAAACCGACTATTCGCCATGAGGCGATGGCGTTTCCAAATGTGCATTTTACAAAATCAAAAAAATTTAGTCAAGGAATTTAACCAATTGTTGTGGTTACTACGGAGATGCATGCGAATATTTGCGAATATAGCCTAAAAGGTTATGTGTGAATGAAATAATCGGAACACAATTGGATTTTCCGTAGTTTTTTTAAAAAAAGAAAGTTCTGGTGGAATCATGTTAAGATGTTATTAAAGCAAATGAAATTTCCTTTGACGGTTATCACGTGACATAATTCGGCATTCTCCGTTCGTTTAATCCGGTAGAACAAAACCGAACATAATTGTTAACTAAGTAAGAGTAAGATTGTTAACTAAGTCGCAATAAATCATACGTATCAAATACAGAAATACGTAGATACAATATGCTATGTAACTTTAACACAAAAATTAAGTATTAATCAAAATATTTTTGTAATTGTATTTTCATAACCTTTTTAAACATAAATAGAATTAAAGGGAATATTCATTTATTTTATTCTATGTATCACTACCATAACTTATCCATTATTTTTAAACTAGCTTCGTATCCCATGAAAGCCGCAGCATTTGCAGGAAAAGCTCTTAATAACGCAGGACCGATACCCTTAAACAAAGCAGATGGACCATCCGTTTTAAGTAAGTGACGTAACACATCCATAAAACCCTTATATTGACCAGAAGGAGCCGATTGAAGGCGTGACTTAATAACATCAGGTGGAATACAAATAGTCCACATAGCGACACCAGCCATACCTAAATAATATTTAGTATTAATAATTAGAGAAATCAGAAATATAATGATATAATTTAATTAATTTTAATTAAACTTACCACCAGCAAATAAGACAGCAGCAGGATTCAAAGTAGAATCAGAAGAAGTTAAAAGTTTTTTTGTAAATTCATAAGCACCAAAATAGGCAGCAGATCCTGGAACATCACGGAGCAACGTAGCACCAGTTCCACGAAAAATACTACCTAAACCACCTTCCTTATAAAGATGACGTATTACGTCGAGCGGACCCTTGTATTTAACATCACCACCCTGACCTTGAATTTGTAATAACACTTTAATCCTTTCAACTGGAGCCATTACT